GGGACCCCCGCCCCGCAGGCTGACTGCACCCCTTACTGCAGGGGACCCCCGCCCCGCTCTCGCAGGCTGACCGCACCCCTCACTGTTAAGGCCTCGGCACTCTCAGGAGGTGGGAGGGCCGGAGAACGGGGCCACCCCCAGCTGGCCCAGGGCACAGAATCCCAAATGTGCTTTTCCAGCTAAGTCACTAAACAAAGGCCACCACCAGACACCGCCTTCGCTGTCACCTCCCACGGCCGATGGCCCCCATCAGAACCAGGGGTGCAGGGGGCACACCCACCGCCGGAGACGGGCTCGTGGGCTTCAGACGAGGCTCTAGGAAGCGCTCAAGCAGGTAACGAGGAACCAAGGAGCCCCCAGACCAGTCCCCGTCAGGGAAGGCGAGGGGCCCCAGGGTCCAGCTGGCCGGCCGGCCGGCGGCACCCAGCCCCACGTCCCCGCTTCTGGCAGGCAGCCTGGCTCTCTGCCACGGCCGCCTGACCCCGCTGCCTCTCCACTCCCGCCGGTCAGACACACACGGGTCTGCAGGGCCAGGAGGGGCAAGCCCTCCCCCAGCCCCTCCTTGCCTCATGTCTGCCCTCAAGCAAGAACCCAGGTCACCACCTCCAACCGACCCTCAACACTGACGCTGGATGGCCACGCAGGAATCCACCCCCACCCCACGCTGGCAAGGATGCAGAGTCCAGTCCAGCCAGGGGGTCCCCAAGCGGCGGGAGAGCCCTCAACTCCCTGGTAACGGGGGACAGCTGCCGCTGACCTTTCCAGGGGTTCGCTTCTCTCTCCCTCCCCCACACCAGCTCACGGCAGCCTCGGGGTGGAAACAAGGAAGGTCTCGGTAAACCCAAAAGGACCATCCCAGGTCTCCAGGGTGCCGAGTGAAAGGGAATTTTAATCAGAGAGAAGCTTCGGATACCCTAAGAGACAGCCAAGCGCCAGAGGGGTCGCTCTGGAACTGGGGGAGGTCGAGTGAGGGGTTTGGGCGGGCGGAGCTTGAGGTCTGGACTCCCACCCCCAGCCCCAGGGGCGGAGCGAGAAGGCGCAAGTAGTGTCTGAACCCACGAGCCCCTCCTGCCCGGCTGGGCTCAAAGGCCTCCTCGGGCTCGGCGAAGAGCCTGGCAATATTCGCTGGGGTGCCCCGGTGTCAGAGAACCAGGCTCAAGCAGCCGTCGCCAAGAGGGGGCTTTCCTTCTGCTTCCGCGGAAGCAGCTCGGACCAGGCCAGGGCTCTCTTCCCCCCACGCAGGCGGGCGAGAGGGGCCACCGCACCCCACAAGACAAGCAGGCACCCCGCTCCGCCCGCCCCATCCCCACGGGCCTGCTCCGAGTCAGCCGGAAACCTGCGTTTCTGTGTTTTGTTGGTTTTTCAAGAAAAGTAAATTCATCTTGCTCACGTCCCTTCTGGGGGAGCCGAGAAGGCAGAACTCCCCGGCTCTGCAGGCAGAGGGTGAGCTGGTCCCTCTTGGGCGCTTACGGACGAGCGAACCCCTGGAGAGGCGCGGGCGGGGGGCGGGGTGTCGTCGATTCTTTGGTCTCTGGTGCGCAGGATACCCTGGGTCAGCCGCGGCTTGCTCGCCCACCTTAGGGGAAAAACCATCGCGCTGCTTTTCATGAAAAAAGTTCCGCCGGGAGGGGGCCGCCTCGACCTGCTGACGCTCAGCTAACAGAGCCGAGCCCCCGAGGCCCCCGAGGCCCACGGGGGCGCGGCCCCGGCGGCTCAGTCCAGGAAGCGCTGGCACGCCTTCTTCCAGCGGCAGGCAGTGCACCACTGGTCCCTGCGCTCAATGCCATACACCTTGCGGCACTTCTTGGCCTCTCCGCGGGCCTTCCTGCCGAGAGAGCCCCGGGTCAGTGCCACGCCGGGCCCCGGGCCCGCCCCAGGCCCCGGCAGGTGGACCCAGCCAGAGTCCGCGCCCGCCGTGGAGGTGACCGGGACGGAGGCCGGAAACGCAGGCCGCAGGGGAGGGCGCACGGTCTCACCTGGCGCTGCTCGGGGCCCGGGGAGGAGACGTGACGACCAGGTGAGACTTCGTGGCAGGCGGCGGCGGCTGGGGCTCGCTGAAGCTGAGCGACCGGCTCCGGACCTGGACACGGGAGACGGCTGTGAGCCCGAGGGCCGGACGGAGGGAGCAGGGCCTTCCTGGGGAGCCAAGCAAGCACCCCTGCCAGGGGAGCGGGGCGCTGCCATCGGCCGCACTGGGGTGCAGTGGCGTGTTGGGCGGCGTGGAGCCGCCCGGCCTGGCCCGCGATGGCGGCTGCTGCCAGAGAGGGGCGCGGGCTCCATCCGCGGGGCACACGGTGGCCCTGGGGGCGCGTGGGCCCTCCAAGGTGCGGGGCCCCCTTCCACAGCGGCTGCTGCGATTAAACCCGCTGCGCTTGCTGCAAACTTTCAACCTGTTTTCATTCCGCAGCCCGAGCCCTAGTCCACGGTGGGCCACGCACCCCATCTCCCAACCTCTTCCTCTCTGGCTTTCCCCCACTTGCGCCCCTCTCTTCTCAGTCACCCTACGCCCCCCAGACTGTCAGGGCTCCAGGGGGGGCTGGCAACTACCTGGCCGTCAGCCTGTGGTTCTGGCTACCACATCCCCCCTTCCTGGGGGCTGCTACCGGGTGTAAGCCCGTGACCGGGAGGGCTGGGGGGCTGGGCGAGAATGGGGCGCCGGAACTGGCACTGCGCAGGTGTGGGAGAGGCCCCCCAAGGCTGGAGGGCTGAGGGGCAGGCACTCACCGGAGAGAGGGAGGAGGCTGTGGAGGGGGCGGCAGCCCAGCTAATACTGGTATAGATGTGGGGTGACATGGGGATCTGAAAGGACGGCAGAGCCTGCAGAGACGAGAGCGCGTCAGCCCGGTCCCAGCTCGGGAGCTTCTGGAAGCTTCCGCTCCCCTCCTGGAAACCTGAGGTAAGCTGGCAGCCAGAACGCTGGGGTGTGCCCAAGAGCAAGAGCAGAGTCCCCGATTCCAAGCAAGCCCCGCTCGGGAGCCAACCTGTGCTGGGCTGTGCCGGCCTCACACCTCCACCTGCACAGGGGCGACCTCAGGTGTGGCCTTCCAGGGACGCAGCCCGGACAGGGCCCCCGGGCAAGGCAGGCCCGCAAGTCTGCGTCGGAATCTGTCAGTCAAGGACCGGCCCTGCTCACGGCTGCCCGAAGGCCACCTGAAGCTGGCCAGCGGCGACAGCTCGGCCGCCGCGCTGGCAGAGGGGGCTGGTGCCAGGGCCTTGCTGACTGACAGCAGTGCTTGCCTGCCCGGCCCCTCTGATAAAACCACATGCAGCCTGGGAGCGCGGGAACCGCCGTGGGGGGCCGGGGGGCCCGGGCACGAGCCCACACGCCGCCTGCACCTCCCCGAGGCCTGGGGCTCCTGTCGGAACCAGCCGTGACCACCCAGCGCTCCACCAGGTCAGGGCCCGAGCCTGGTCCGGCCCGAGCATGGTCCGCCCGAGAGCTCACCCCCGTGGACAGGCCGGGGCCCGGAGACGCCGCCGGGGGGTCCCAGCGCCCCCCGCCCTGCTCGAGGGGAGCTCAGGGTCTGCTCTGGGAGCCCCAACAACTCTCTTCCACCCCGACAGAGACGGCCCCAGGCCACCTGGGCGCTCAGGGAGCAGACTCCCAGCGAACGCTCAGGGCAGCCCCGACGAGAGCCCGATCCCACATTGTAGAGTGGGGGTCATTTCCCTCCTCCTTAAAGTTAGAGAGGTGCAACTCAGCGAACCAGTCGGGCCTTGCAGCAGGGGCAGGGGTGGCCTGGGTGGGGCTGGCCAGGCCCAGGGCGGACACCGAGGGACCCACGGCCGCAGGCCAAGCTCCGTGTCCACGTACCTGGTAGGCGTGGTCGGCCTGAATGTGCCAGAAGGAGCCAGGCGCTGACCTGCTCAGGGCACCTGAGGACAGGTAGGACTCCAGGCCCGGGTGTTCCGCCCCTGAGCACTGGGCCTTGGGCGGCGGCGGCGGAAGGATGGCCGGGGGCGGGCTGGTCATGCCGGGGACAGGCACCGAGTCGGCGGGGGCCACGGCAGCGGCCACGGCTTCCTCCTTCACCTGCACTTCGGTGTAGTAGAAATCCTCCTCCCGCTTGAACTGGTCGGAGTCCACAGTGTCCCTGTGTGGGGGGAGGTGGATGGTCAGGACAAGCTGCCTCGGCTCCAACACTGGGGAAACTGAGGCACGAGAGGAGGCCTGCTCGGGCCACGGAGGTCCGGGCCGGGGCTGGGGGGTGCCGGGGAGCGCCCGGGTCTGCTGTCAGTGGGGAGTGTTTCCCCGGCATCCATGGCCTCCCCTTGTGCCCAGTCCCGCAGGGCCCCTCTGCAAAGGGCTCTTGGGCAGCCCTGGCCACAGGGGTCAGTGTTCATGGGGCCCTGGCTCCCCAGAGTGAGGGGCACACCCCTTTATCTACTGAGAGCCAAAATGTCTTGCTTCCTGCAGAGAAACAGGCAAGACGACGGGACTCCGAGGCGGACGGATCAGGCCGCCCGCGGCCTTGAGCCAGCCCGGATGCAGCACGCTGCTCCGCTGGAAGGCCCGGGGCTGTGGCCCCGGGGCCCGGGCGGGGACACTGGGGCGCTCCGGCACACCTACCGCAGGTGGAGGGTCTTCACGTGCCTCTTGATGCCCACGATGGAGCGCAGCACTTTGCCACAGTTTGGCCACAGGCACTTGTACATCACCTTGACCGAGTTCTAGAGGAAGGAACTGGGTGAGTGGGTGCTGCCTCCCCCCCCACCCACCTCACCCCACCATCGGGGCGCCACCCTCTGCCTCCTCTGCCTTCCAACAGAACCCGAGGAAAGGTTCCGGGCAGGGGCCAGGGATGGCCAGCAGCAGGACGGAGGGCGGGTGAAGGCCCCCACCCCAGCTCGGGCTCCGGGCGAGCACGGGAAGGAGGCAGGGTCGGGGCGCTGCGGGGAAAGGAAGCAGCACTGAAGAAGAGGTGGGTCCCTCCTGGGGATCGCCCCAAAAGAGACAAAAGCACTGATCCGAAAAGACACCTGCACTCCCATGTTTATTGCTGCTTTATGCACAACAGGAAAGGCATGGACGCAGCCCGAACGCCCAAAGTGGACGGCTGGGCTAAGAGATGCGTCAGATACACCATGGAATATTCCTCAGCAACCAAAAAACACAAACACCTGCCTTCAGCAGCAGCATGGACGGAGCTGGAGAAGGTCATGCTGAGTGAGGTGGCCAGAAAGAAAAGGAAAATGCCGATGGTCTCGCTCACAGCAGGAGCATAACGGACCGGGCGGAAAGTAATAATAAACAACTATATACCAGCACATCTTATGGGGGTGCAGCGGGCAATGGGGTCAAAAATGGGGGAGGGGGGGTGCGCTGGACTGTGGTGACGGCACAGGGTGATGTGGCGATTTGGCACGGGGATGACAACTGAGATGGAAAAAGGCACAAAATGATGTAGAAATAAACTACTATATTATTTAAAAGAAAAAGAGGGGGGGCCAGGGCAGGAGGGACCAGAAGCAGCAAAGGCTGCGGGGTTGCCTGTGGCCTCCCCTCCAGGCCCAGCCCCCCACCCCTCCCGCAGGCCCCCAAGCCTGCCCCCACCTTTCTTTTCCGTGGAGCTGGTTCATCCAACAGGAAAGCATCCGGATCGGTCTCAAATCCATGATCGGTTTGGGGAGAACCAAAGGCATCCCCCAAATACTTGGGGCTGGCCTGGGGGTGTGGGGGCGAGGGGGTGGAGACCCCGCTGCTCCCGCTCCAGTGCCCGCTGGTGGTGCTGCTGCCACTGTCCGACACGTCACCGCTCTCCTTCCACAGGTCGCAGGCCGCTCGGGACACTGGCCGAAGAGGACGGGACACTCAGGGCCCACCGGACCCCAGGGCATGTCCCCACCAGGGGACAGCCCGGCGCCGGCCGAGGCTCCAGTTCGCTCTTGGGGGTCCTGAATCCAGACCCTGGCTCTGGCTTTGCCAGACTTAGCTCCTCCAGCAGCAGGAGCACCCCAAAGCTCCCCCCGTCTGGGCCTCACTGAACTGGGGAGTGCGTCTGTGCGCCCCGACCGGCACCCCTGTGCTCCAGGGCCGAGCTTGCGCACCGCGGCGTGGCCCGTGAGGGGCAGAGCCGGCTCCAGGGGGGGCTTCCTGCAGCACACCCCGGGGGTGTGGGGGCCTGGGGGCCGCCTGCTCTGAGCCTCGGGCGTGCCCGGGTGGCGTGGGAAGCGCCACTGAGAGCAAACTGACCCTAAACCCAACGAGGACTCACGCCGCACCAGGCCACGCCCGGCGCACACCAGCACGGCCCGACCATAGACCACGCCCCCGACATGTGGCCTGAGCCCATCGGGCGCGGCCACTGCTGCCTCGGGCTGCCGTCGGTGCACGGAAGCTTCCTGGCCGCTAGCAGGGCCGAGGGGCCGAAATACTCCGCAGGGTGAGGTGGTGCCCAGCCGACAGCTGCTGGGGGGGGGCAGTACCCCAGCAGACCCCACGGCTGCACAGAGCGAGCAGCGAGCACCCTTTCCCGGGTGACCCCCACCGCCCGGGAGCTGCTAGGGTCCGGGGCAGAGGGACGACCACTGTCCAGCTGGGACTCGGACCCTCGTGGATGAAACTGACGCCGGGGCCTGTTTCTTCTGACAGAGTCCAGGGGCCCGCGAGCTGCTCACCTGGCAGCCAGCCCTCCTCACCTGGGAAGCTGGCCTCGGCCCCGGGGGGACTCTGCACCACTGGGCTGCAGGACAGCGAGGTGAGCACCATGGCCGCCATCATCTCGTCCATCTCCACCGCGTCTGACTTCCTAGATTCAAACGGGGGGGTGGGGGGGGCAATGTCACTTCCTGGCACTCTTCAGTCAGCTCCGCACCCCTGCATCACATGTTGGGGGTGGGGGGGCCGGGGGCCGCCTGCTCTGAGCCTCGGGCGTGTCCGGGGCAGCTTGCCCTACGCAGAGGTGGCAGGGGGCCCGGGTGGCGTGGGAAGCGCCACCGAGAGCAAACTGACCCTAAACCCCACGAGGACGCCCGGCTCACACGCCCCGCACAGCCAGGCTGGGCTGGGGACACCGGCTCCAGCAGGAGCCCCAGCATTCTCGGGGAAGCACTCACTCTCGGAGACGCTTACGGTGCCAGCCACCCACCTCAGGAAGCGGGGCGGCCCAGCCCCCCGCCAACACCCTTTCTGCCCGCAATTCGCACTCTAACCCCCAATCTGCAGCCTACGCTGGAGAACCGTGTTCGGGCCAAGGGCAAAGAACCCGGCAACGAAGCAGCGTGGGCAAGACGCCGGCGCTCCGAGACCACGGTCACCCCGCTGCCCGCCCCAGCTGCCGCTTAAAGGGGAGCAGCTACCCGGCCCGGCGCCCGCCCCGCCCTCGGGGGACAGTGGCGAGGCCCTGGCAGGGACCGTCACAGAAGCTGGCAGTAAGCCAGCGACATGAGCCGAGGTCTCCCGGGCCACCCCGAGGCTGGGACCGAGCCCTGGAAAACCGCACACATGATTTCTTTACAGACCCAAAAGCGGGGTTCCTTGAAACAGCCTGGGCTGTCGCTGCGTGAACGCGCGAGCAGGCAACGTTCGTCTGAAGCCGTTTCGGGGGGGCTCTCGGGGTCAAAGGGCTGTGCGGGTGCAGCTTTGCGACCCAGACCCGCAAGACCCGTGGCTGGTCTGAGAGCCCGGCGGCGGTGACCCTCGCGTGGCCTCAGTGCCGGCCACGGAACACCCAGCCGCCAGTGCCGCTGCGCCCTTTGGTCTCGGAAACACTCAGGCGGCGGGGGCCCAGGGGCCCAGGGGCCCGGGGGCCGGGGGCCCGGGGGGGCCGGGGGGCCGGGGTGCTGCCCACTGTGGCTTCCCTGGCTTCAGCTTCTGCCACGCTCCCGCTGCTCACACTGAAAGAGGCTGCTTTAGACCTTGTTGCTCAGCTTTCTCTGGCCAAAATCTCTCAGATCTGCATGACAGAGGCACGTTGGTGCCTTTACACGTGTCTCACGGCCGCCAGTCAGGAGTGACCCCACGGGCCCTGCAGCCTTCTCGCCCTGTGTCCCCACAGAACGCCTCTGCTTGGCCCTTTACTTCCCTTCAACGTGGCGACTGTCCGCCCCATCACCAAGCAATCACGCCATCTTCGTCAGCCCCCGAGTCCCAGCACTGAAGCTAACGCCGGGAA